AGGGATGGCGAAATCTAAGTTGGATCTGCGGCGGCTACCCACTATGCTGGCCCCCCCAAGCAGCCCTCGAAAGCGGCGACAGTTTCGCAACTCGCAGCCCCCCAGGGATGGCAAGGTCTACTTTGGATCTGCGGCGGCTACCCACTATGCTGGCCCCCCCGAGCAGCCCTCGAACGTGGCGACAGTTTCGCAAATCGCAGCCCCCCAAGGATGGCGAGATCTAATTTGGATCTGCGGCGGCTACCCACCGTAGCTGCCTCCCCCAAGCAGCCCTCGAAAGCGGCGGCAGTTTCGCAAATCGCAGCCCCCCCCAGGGATGGCGAGGTCTACTTTGGATCTGCGGCGGCTACCCACTATGCTGTCCCCCCCAAGCAGCCTTCGAAAATGGCGACAGTTTCGCAATTCGCAGCCCCCCCCCCCAGGATTGCGAGGTCTACTTTGGATCTGTGGCGGCTACCCGCTATGCTGTCCCCGCAGCAGTCCTCGAAAGTGGCGACATTTTGGCAGATCGCAGCTTCCCAGGGTCGCCGATCGCAGCCGCGCAGGGACGGTGATGTCCTAGACAGGTACCGCAGGCAAAGAGAAAACAATATATATAGAGAGAGAGAGAGAGAGAGAGACAGAGATAGAGACAACCATTAGAGGAGAGAGAGAGAGAGAGACAGAGAGAGAGAAAGAGAAAGAGAGAGAGAGAGAGAGGATGAGAGAAAGAGAAGAGCAAGAGAGACATAGAGAAACAGAGAAAGAGAGAGAGAGACACAGAAAGCGGCGAGAGGCAGGAGGCGGGAGGTGGGAGGAGGAGGATCATGAGACGCGACCGCAGTGTTCTATTCAAAACGAATACCCAACCAAGGAGGGCTGGGAAAACACATAAACCATCGCCACCTCTTTTTTCCTGCCCCGCCCCGGCCCCGAACATAACAATCTGGAACATGGAGGGGGGGGCGACGGTTGTTCATTTGTTGTTAGCTTGTTCTTCATTTCTTTCTCTCCGGAGAGGGTCCACACCTTTTTTCTTGCCCTTTTTCAAACGAAATCCTTTCGTGGGCGATTTGCAACATGATCCCTGTTGTGTGGATTATACATAAAATCCTTTTGTGAGGCTTCTCAATCGGACTCTTTTTGCGTGGGATTTGCGAATAATTTTCGACTCTGTAGAGTGCACTTAGAATCCTTTTGTTCTGCTTCCCAAGAGAAATATATTGCAGAATTCGGTGCGACGAAGACGATGGGAGGGAGACGAAATATGAAGAAGTGGAAATACACAAACCGAATATTCGAACAGCCTCCAACATATCAACATACACCACGAAAATGGCCCCCCACATAATTCCAGGGTTCCCACTTACCCCTCCCGGGAAACGTCCGAACAACTTTTGGTAAACTCTCGAGTTGGGGGGTTTGTCGGGGGTTGTCCGGGGGGGTCTTCAGAATTGTTTTTGTTTGTAATTGCGGGGCCGAGAAACCTCGGTAAAAAACTCCCGAGTTGGGGTTGTCCGCGGGATTTTCAAAAAGTAGTATTGTTTCTAATTGTGGGGCCCCGTGGGGGTCCCCGTGGCTTTTCAGAACTTATATATATATGTATATATATATATATATATATATAGATGTTTTAATCGTGGGCCCCCAGAACCTGCGAAAGCCTCAAAGAGAACAACCAGAGTTGGGGAGTTTTTCGGGCGCCCCCCCCTCGGAAAAAAAAAAACCGACGAACTTCAGAAACACATCAGAAACACAGCAGAAAAAGACGCCCGAGTTGTTTGGTTATCCGTGGTTTTCCGGGGTGTTTCCTGAATTAGTTTTGTTTTGAATGAACCGCGGAAGCCGTTGTCAAGAACAATAACCTAGAAATCATTCTTCAGCAGAAAAAGCGCAGACAAAAAACAATCACAGACATCTGAGTTTTTTTGTCAGAGAGTTTTTTCAGGCCACAGGCCCCACCCCAGAAAAACGCATGAACAAAACATCAGGGAAAACGAATAACAACAATAGAAAAACCGCCGAACAACATCCGAGTTGAGGGGTTCCCGGGGGGGGGGGGTAGCCCGAATTGCGATTTGAAAGGGTTTGCCCGATCGCTCCTGGGAGCCCCCCGAAAAACCACAGACAACAAACAATATGTTTTCTGTTGTTGTTATGAAATAATTATGTTTTTAAGTGTCGGGCTCCAGAACCCATCCAAAAAACCGTTAACGCCCCCCCATCCGGAACCTGGTGGGAAAAGCCCCGGACAAAAAACCGAATTCGTTTTTTTTCGGGGGTTTCCCGGGGGAGTTCCAGGGAACTCCCACACCAGTCTCGCGAATCGACTTGCATGAATGATGCGACGGCTCGGACGCGGCTCAAAGTGCGCGACGACGACGGCGATGCATCGGTCGGTGAGCGAGTGCGCCGCTTTCCAGACCGACCAGATGCAGGGCAACCAAAGGCTGTTCAAAATTCCACATGGAATTTCAAGCAGCTGACGGTTGCCCTGCGCATTGCGCTGCGCACGTGTCACTCGGAAGTGATTCGCACGCGTCCTCACTCCTCGGGCACTGCGACTCGATTTGCTTGAACGATGTGACGACTCGGACGCGCCTCCAAGTGCGCGACGGCGACGGCGATGCATCGGTCGGCGGGCGAGTGCGCACTTTCGACATTGCGCCGCGCACGTGCCACTCGGAAGTGATTCGCCCGCCTCTCACTCTTCGGGCATTGTGAATCGATTTGCATGAACGATGCGATTTCTCGGACGCGCCTCGAAGTGCGCGACGACGACGGCGATGCATCGGTTGGCGCGCGAATGCGCCACTTACCTGACCGACCAGATGCAAGGCAACCGTGGGCGCTTTGAAATTCCACATTGGCGCCGCTAAAATTTTGACCCGTATCGTGCTTCCACCCAGACACGTCTTCGGCGGGAGCGCCATTGCGAATTCGAGTTGAAGGATTGCCGACTTTTATTTTCGAGGAAGGTCTGGGCGGGGATCTCGAAATCGAACCCGGAAGGCTCCGAATGTTGTTTCGGGGGAAGTCCTGGGCGGGAGTGCCATTTCTAAATCGCGCCAGAAAAGGTTTCGAATGCCAGGTTGGAGGGGGTCTTGGGCGGGAGCGACATTCCGAAATCGAGCTCGAAAGTGTCGAAATCTTTCGGGATTGTTTCTGAGGAAGTCTCAAGCGAAACCGTCGTTTCAAAATGGCCGTACCGTTTGGCATTGAATATTTCACATATCTCACAAGAGATTTCGAACATGTGGTTTTCGCTTGAGACTTCCGTCCAAAAAACAGTTTCGAACGATTTCGAACCTTTCGTGCTCGATTTCGAAATGGCGCTCCCGCCCAAGACTTTCTTCGAAAAGCGATCTTGATTGGATTTCAACACCGTCGGGCTCGAATTCGAAAGGGCGGTCCCGCCCTATTTGAGCAACGCAATGCTTGGGCAGAATGTTGTATTGGGGGCCCGTGGCTGAATGGGCTCCTCTGACGTCTCCTCTCTTGTCGCTGGCGCAACGCCACCGACAGTGTCGTACCGGGCCCCTTCCTGAACTCGGGCTGGTGCGTCCCGCCGCACCTTGGGGCGTCAGCTAAAGGCTGACGCCCGCTCGTGCGCGGAGTCCCCGCGCCGGGCCAGCCGTGGGGGGAAGTCATTACTAACGCTCCCCTCGTTATTTTTCCTTGACGACCTTGACCCTCCAGATGAGGGTTGGCGGTGGCACATTGACATTGCGTTACAATGCGCAGCCACTTCCGCTTAGAGGTAACATATCTCCCGCGCGCGCCCGCCCTCCCTCTGGTCGGCCGGCTGGCGCGCGCGCGTTCACATCTCTTGTAGCAGATTCGTTCAACAAACGCAACAGCCACGGCATCAAACGCATCACTTTCGAGGCGAGATCTGTGATCACTTCTAGAAGATCAGGTAAATCACATCCAGACAAAGAGCTTACTAACATGATACATATATTGCTTGCATTTATGATGAATCGGCACAATAAATTCTTGGTAGGCTCCCGTGAATCGCAAGAAAGGTGGGGGGAAGGTCCCCAACGGCTTGACGACCTGCCGCCAGTCGACTTGTGTGGATCAAACCGGATAAGTTGTGGTACATGCCGATAAATCGAGGTCGATCCAGATAATTCTGGGTAGATCTAGGCGAATCCCGGTAAATCCAAAAGATCCCCGAAGACATTTGGAGCAACTCGTAGCCGGTCCAGCGCGAGTCGAGGGTCGGCAAACATCGTCAAGCCTTTAGCGAGAAGGAGGACGACGCTGGTGGCGTGTTGTGTGCGCCTGTGGATCAGAGATGCGCCCTCTCTAATGGATAGTGAGCGGCGGTTGGGACAAATCGTCAGCGCAAAACCAGTTTGACCGCAACCAGGGGGAACAACTCACCAGAGCAGCTCGGTTTTGACATTACCACTGGGAACAACTCACCAAAACAGCATGGCCTTGCTCTTTCACGTCGTTCTCACGTGTTGCTTCCCCCTTCTGCTCATGCAATAGCTCTGACCTTCAGGGTGCGAGGGCTTCTGAGAAGGCCCGACGCCTTCTGCGAAGGCCTTTTCTTTCATTTCCCCCCTTCGATCGTTGTTGAATAGCCGTAGTCACGCCAGCGGCAATGTAGGCAACGGCGGTGTAGGTTTCGGTATTGTAGGTGGGGGTGGTTCGTGGCGAGCACACTTGTAGGACAGCGTTGTTCGCGTTTTCCTACAATTTGTTCTGCGCGAGCTCGGCGTCGCAAACAAAAAACATATTCCCAACATCGCCGATGACCAGCATCACCACTGGCGTGGCCGTGCAACAAGAGATGGGGGGAAGGAAGAGGGCGCTGGTGGCGTGTGTCTTTCCGGGCCGCGACCCCCGCCCCTTCTGTTTTCCCCCTCCCGCCCCGGCCCTCCTCTTCTCCTCCTGTCTAGCATCCGGGACAGTGCGTGTTGTCTTCACCCGGCTTGCCTGGACGCGCGTGCGGACTGATTCTGCCGCGCTGCGACGCAGAAGTGCATGTCCGGGGCGCCGCGCAGGAGGCCCTGGAGGCTGCGGAGAGGCAGCGGGCCCAGGACGGCCGCGGCCGCTCTCCCGGCCGGCGTGTACCCGCCTCCGCCGACGCCGATGCTTCTCGGGGGCAGGGCCTCGGGGGGGGGGGGAGTCGCCGAGGGGAGGTTCGAGGTTCGAGGAGGATCGGGGGTCGAGGATCGAGCAGGACCGAGGAGCATCGAGGATGGGGGCATCGAGGAGGGGGATCGCGGATCGGGGGGGATCGACTGTCGAGGATCGAGGAGGATCGAGGGGCAGGAGGCGGGCGCGGCGCCGCTTGCGGGCGCTGCCTCCCCCTGCCGGGACAGGGGGGGCAGGTCCCGAGGTGAAATTCGCGATCTCAGATGAGGGCGAGGACGAGTTCGAGGCAACGTCAGAGGAGGATAGGCTCAGGATCGACTCGAGATTCGAGGTTTTCGGGCGTCTTTGTCGGCTCTCGGCGGCCTTCCAGCCTCGGGACGCTTTCCAGCAGCTGCGCCTCGCCGAGAGCGTTCTGTGGGTGCCTGGATCGTCCCGAACGGCCGCCGGAGGCCCGAGTCGTGGCTCGAAAGCCAGGAGGCAGCGCCAGGGGGGATCTGTTCGGGGCGGACGCGTCGACCCCCAGTCGCTCACTCTCCGCAGATCGGGGCCCGGCAGCCCACGCGGCCAAGGAGCGTGCGGATTCGCTGTCGGGGGCCTATCGCCGATCTGTCGGATGCATCCCCCTCTGAGCCACCGCCACCGCTGAGCCAAGCGTCCGGAAGGGCGCGTGGGCAGAAGAGCGCGCGATGGGCGACTCTTCGGAGACTTGGTAAAACGAGACAGGAACAAACGGAGCGCATCACGACTGTAAGGCAGAGAAATGGAGCGCCCGACTGTGAAGCAGAGACGGGCAGCGAGGAGGAGGAGAGGCGAGGAGCACGAGGCGGCGGGGGAGCGGACCGGACAGGTCTTTGGGGGACCGTCTGGATGATCTACGACTTGCTTTACCAGAGAATTCGAATCCCTTGCCACAATCTTGTCGTACAACCTGATCTGCCTATCAAGCAACATCTGGGATAGAGGTTCTGCATGAGCCCGGTTTAGAACGTCCGCGTTGGTAACACAAGATATGTAAGAGTGTGGTATGCCTAGAAGCCTTCGTAGACACCGGCAATGAAAAGCATCCAACCTGTTTCTGTCGGCGGCCAATAGCAAAACAGAAACAATGTTTTGATTCGCGGGTCGAGAGCGCGCCTCTTCCGGTCGAGACTAAGCGGGCCGCGCGAAGCCTGAATTAACAAAGAGGGGGGGACAGGCCTCACGTCAAGGCCAGGAGGAGGCAGAGCCTCGGGATCAGGCGGTGCCGAAGACGATGTGCTTGCAAAGGAACGCCTTGGACAGGAACCCGGTGGCGAAGTACCGGATGAAGCAAAATGCTGTGGTTGGTGGTGCCGTCAACGGCTCATCATGTACACCAGCTTCGAGTGGCGGCGGGTACCCAAGCGGCGTCGACCAGGGAGGGTGGAGAGCATCGCTGAGCCGGAGTGCAACGTTGTGCCGCCGAACAGGACGTCAGGGTGCCACGGGTCCAGGGTATGGGAGCCGCAGTCTGAGGCGCGGCAGCCAGGACACGCCAGGATCATGCCGCCTATACCGACCGACAAGGTGCTGGTGTGCTGCAGGGTGGAACGAGTCCTGCCAGTGGCGAGCGCGAGGGACTGGGCCGAAACCGCCTTCGCCGGGGCGCTGCCGTTGTCCGCGGAGCCCAGGGCCGGGCCAGGGCCGCGCTGCGCCCAGGACCGCGGGGCCGCCGAGGCGGCAAGGTGAAACGGGACCACCGCGTGCGAACGCCGGGCGCCGGGCCGAAGCCGTGCTGTGCCGGGCGCGGCCGCCATGCGGGACGGGGGGTAGCGAGCGGGGAAAAGGGGAAGCGGGCAGGGAGGAGAAAGGCCAGCCAGGCGGGCCAGCCAGCGCCGGGGCAGCCCCGCGTCGGCAGCCGGGCGTCCCCGCCAGCTGCCGGAGGCAGGTGGAACCTGCGGAATCAGGGGGACTATCCGTCCCGTTTTCAGGTAAGGGAGGGGGGAGGGATGGGGAGACAGGGCCAGCCGAAGCAGAAGGCGCCGAACAGGTCGTACCCGAAAAAGGGCGCCGTGAGGCTCGCCAGGGACAGGAGGAGCGGTTCGGACATGGCGCCCGAGGCCAAGAAAACAGTTAGAAACATTCGAGATACGTCAGCGCTTGGGCGCTGTATTCCGTTCCGGTTGTCCGTGGACTCGGAGCTGGTTAATGGGCCGTCCTCTCGCGCCCATCGTTTTTGGCCGCATCCTGGCTCCGCCGGATGTCCTGATACAGGGCGTTTTCGCGGCCCCAGTCGATGTCGCAAGTATACTGCGGGATCAGGAGGGACTAACCGTCCCATTATCAGGTGTGTAGGAGGAGGGGGGAGGGGGGAGGGGGAGGCAGGGCCAGGCGCTGTAGAAGGCGACAAACAGGTCGTGCCCGAAAAAAAACGCCAAGAGGTTTTGCCAGGGACGGGAGGGGCGGTTGGTGCGGGCACCCTGGGCGGCGGCATCAGTGGGAGCGTTCGGGGCAAGTCAGCGCCTGGGGCGCTTCCCGGTCCAGTTGTCTGAATATCCGGAGCTGCGTGCTGGGCCGTCCCCGCGCCCCTCGCCTTCGGCCCCCCCCTGCTTCCGCTGGAACTCCTGATGCAGGGCGTTTTCGCGGTCCCAGTCGATGTAGACGCCCGCGTTCCGGGACCAGGTGCCCACGTCGTAGTGGCTGCGTGCCATTTCATCCAGGAAGCGGTCAATCATGTCGGGCTTCCAGCAGGACGGGTCGAACTTGACTTGGTCCCTGGTCTTGCCCTTGTCTCGGCCCACTTGCCTGCACCAGGAGTGCCAGGCTGCGGCGAAGCAGAAGCCTCCCTCGGCCTTCAGCCCTTTCGTGTGGGTGGTCGCCGTCTCGTCGGGGCGCTTCGGCCAGCTGACGCGGCGGTCTTCCCCTGGGCGGCTGTGGTCAGGGCGGCGGCGCTCATCTTCGTTTTGTTCAGGGTGGCGGCGATCGTCGTATCGCTGCCAGGAGCCCCACCCTCCGCTCCTGTCGCGAACGCGGTCTCGGTCGCGGTCGCGCTCTCTAGCTCGCTCCCTGTCGCCGGTGTCTCTGGACGGGCGCCGAACCGTGCTCTCGTATCGGTCCCCGAGTCCCGGCTCACCCCCCCTGCCGCGCGCGCGACCGTACTCGAGCGGAGGACGGGGGTCGGGTGCGGCGCGCCCGGCCCCGGTGGCCACTGTCCGGAGTGGTGTGCGCGAGGCGCGGGTGTCAGCGCCGGCCACCGCTGGCGTGCCCTGTCCCGTGGGCCCGTCGGCCTGGCGGGCCCGGCGCTGCGTGTCGGTGCCGCGATCAGGGCTGCTGCGCCGAACCTCTCGGAGGCTCGTGCCGATGTGGACAGCGCGCGAGCTCTTGCGAAGTCTTGAGAAAAACCATCGGTTTTTCAAGATTTTCACGAAATGCTACCAAACGGGCTTCGCGCGCGCATGTCGAAATCTGTCGAACGCCCTTACGCGTGTGCCGTCGCGAGAATCCGCTGCAAAAAAACGGGACCGTATGCCGAAATCCTTCACAACCCATCGGTTCCGGAAGGATTTCAAAATCGTGTGTCCAAAAAACCTACAAAAACACACGGTTTCGCAACACAGATTTTCAACAAAAGCGTGCGCGCGCGCTCTTGCGTCGTCGTCGTCGTCGTCGTCGTCGTCGTCGTTGCCGTCCTCCCTCCTCCCGCGTCGTCGTCGTCGTCGTCGTCGTCGTCGTCGTCGTCGTCGTCGCCTACGTCGTCCTCAGTCTTTCCTTGTGTTCGTCGTCGTCGTCGTCGTCGTCGTCGTCCTCTTTGGCGTCGTGGTCGTTTCCGTCGTCGTTGTCGCCGTGGTCGTCCTTGCTCCTCCTCCCTCGTCGTCGTCGTCGTCGTCCCTCGTCGGCGTCTCGGTCGTCCCTCCTATTTCGTCGCCGTCGTCGTCGTCGTCGTCGTCTTCGTCGTCGTCGTCGTCGTCGTCGTTGTCGTCGTCGTCGTCGTCGTCTTCCCTCCTCTCTCGTCGTTGTCGTCGTCGGCGTCGCCGTCCTTCGTCCTTCTTCGTCGTTCGCGTCGTCGCCGTCCTCCCTCCTCCCTCGTCGTTGTCGTCGTTGTCGTCGTTGTCGCCGTCGTCGTCCTCCCTCCTCCCTCGTCGTCGTCTTCGTTGGCGACGTCGTCGTCGTCTTCGTCGTCGTCGTCGGCGTCGGCGCCGTCGTCGTCTTCGTCGTCGTCGACGTCGGCGTCGTCGTCGTCGTCGAAGTCGTCGGAGACGTCGTTGGTTTCAGTCGTCGTCGTCGGCGTCGTCGTCGTCGACGTCGCTGTCGTCGTCGGCTTCGGTGTCGTTTCCAAGTGCCATTTGGTACATACCGTCACGGTCTTAAGAGGTTTTGCAGACCAAGTTGCGGGTGAGTGGGTGGGATGTTTGCAAGGGCATGGGATGTGTCAAATCAGTGGAAGAAATCAATTGCACCAAGTAGAATGCACCATATGTGTATATGTATATCACTATGGGAAAATTGCGTATATTGCATCACAGAGATTCCACTACACATGGTGGCCATGCACACGTCTCGTCGTCATTTTGGTTTCGCTTCATAAGCTGCACAACACTTGCACACTCCATTTATATGTACGCTGCGCATGTATAATTCATTCACTTACTGTTTGGGGTCCTCGCTGATAATATTGTTGCTGTGTCTTGGAGCCCAAATGTGAGTTTTCGGCAGGCGGGTATCTTGGCTGCAAACCCTTAAACCCAGGACGGCCCGTGATTTCAATCCGCGCGTGATGGGTTATGGTTCGTGGTATCATGTGTTCCGTCTGGTCGCAACTCGTGTTTCCCCATGCCAGGTAGATTTGTCCAGTCCATTTTGTATGATGTCACCCCCATCGCATAAACCTCATCGTCATCATTCACACAATTACGTTTCGCTTCATCTGGTGAAATTTCGTTGACGATGTGATGTTGGCGTGTGGTTCCCCACTAGTAGTTTCAAGCACCCTCGATGTGCAAGCTATGTGGTGCAAGCCGCAGGGCACCAACCACAGGGCACCCATGCGTAGGGCAGCAGTCACACGGCACCGGTGACTGCGGCGCCCTAGGAGCCACGCGGCACGCACCACAGGGCACCAACGTGTCGGGCACGATCAATGGGATCGACGCGCCAATGGCCCACTGCGGCGCCTAGGGGACCATGGGTCACCAACGCATGGGGCATCAGCCGCATTGCACCGTTGCGCTCGCAGCCGACGGTGGCACCCAGGGCCAGTTCCTTGTAAATCGGCAAAATAAAAAACCCTAAGTGCAAGCATTGAGTGGGAAACGCAATATACGATCGTCCCGGTCTTCCCTTCACACAACATCTCACCCCCCTCCCCAAGGCGCGAATGATGAGGAACGGTAAGAGGCTAGAGGAGGGGGAGAGGGAGAAGGTGGAGGAAGCTTGACCCTTTTCCCAGAGGGGCGTCTGTTCACCCTGGGCAAGGCTTGGAGAGCTTCTTCAGAGCTCGGATGAACTTGAGGGGAAGAGCAAGGGGAAGAGGAAGAGGGAAAGGAATAGCAGGATGAGCAGGAGGAGGAGAAGGAGGAGGAGGAGGAGGAGAAGGAGGAGGAGAAGGGGAGAAAGGAGTAACAGGCTCCTCCAAAATCACGAACCCCCGGGCGTTCTTGCTGGCCGGCCCTGTTGTAAAGGGCTTTCTACGCTTGCGGCGAGAGAGTGCATGTGTGACTCTTGAAGTCTCAGCGGGCCAGGACACTCGGCAGGTTCTTCGCCATTTTGCGAAGGATTTGGGTGCTAGTGCGCAGGGCAATGAAGCGTAAGTGAATGTGCAAGCAGCGCCCCCGTTCACGCGCGAGCTGTAGAAGGCAGACGTGGAGTCAGCTGGCAGCGGAATCACGCGCAAGCAACATGGCCGACGTAACATGCAAACCTCATTCCCCAGATCCGATATCTCTTTCCGCACCGACTCTGAATGTGTCTCGTCTGCTGCCGCAGGGCTGATTTTGTTAGTATGTCCTTGAGGCTTCCTGAGTAAATCGCGTGTGTCGTTCGACATGTGTGTCAATATTGGATACGTCGTAAGGCTGGAGCTGCGGAGACTAAAACCAGCACCGCGGATTTGGACCCCCAGAGGAAAGCTTTCCGTCTCAGGGATCTGAGCCAAGGATTCGTCCTCGACACGGTGGGCTGTGGTACCCTGGGCCCTGGCCAATCGCGAGAACCCCGAGGTGCGTCGGTCTCTCGTCTCCGGACCCCGTCTCGTTGCCAGGAGGAGTCGGCGCGCAAGGCCGAGGAACTGCGGCAGAAGGCCAAGCGGCGCCTGCTGCAGGAGAAGAGGGAGGCGGAGCGCAAGAGTGCTGCCGCCGTCCCCGTCGATGCTGCCGCGAGGGAGTGCGACGGCGACGCGCAGCACCAAGAGCAGGCGCGGAATCTGCAGCTCCAGGCGCAGGAGCGGATCCGCCGGCTGAGGGAGGAGGAGCGGCGGAAGAAGATGGAGAATCGGGCGAAGATCGAGGCGGAGGTGGAGAGCCTGGAGGAGAAGGCGAGGAAGGACGCGGAGCTGCTCGCCATCTCCAAGGAGCGGGCCGCGAAGCGTGCGGCCGAGCTCCAGAGGAAGAGGAAGGAGGAGGAGGCAAAGGTGCGCGCGGAGAAGGAGGAGGCGGACAGGAAGGCCAGGGAGAAGAAGATGCGCTACAAGAGCCCCTCCGCCATCGCCGATCTCAAGGCCAAGGAGCGCGAGGCCTCCCCGATGCCCCTGTCGGAGGAACAGCGCGCTAAGGCCAGGGAGCTCAAGCGGATCGAGGCCGAGAGGATACAGAGGTGGGGAGAGATCCGAGATCAGGAATTGGCGGCGGAGAAGGCGCTGCCCAGTGCAAGGCTTAGCTGCCCTGATACGCCCGTGTTTTGAAACGCAGCACATGCCGTGTTCAGAGCGTCCGTGTCAGCACGCTGCGTGTTGGCTCGGCACGTGCTGGTCCACGTTCTGGCAGCCGTGCCGCGCCAGACCTGCACTTCCGGTCCAGGTGTTGAGCTCCGTGCCGGCACGCTGCGGGTTGCGTGCTGCGTATCGGGGCAGCTAAGGTGCAAGGAGCGACTCCCACCGGCCAGGCGGCCGCGGGCGCCCGCCTCGTCCACTGCAGCCAAGCCGTGGCGGCGGTGACGCGGCAGCCGAGGCGGCGGCACCATCCAAATACATTTTTACTCAGTCGTGCATCGGCCCCTGAGGGCGACGCGCGCTCTCAGGAGTCCTGTGGTCTATGCTCGGCGGCGGGCGCTTCCTGGCCATTCCGCCCAGGTTGCGAGATGCTATAAGATGTTTGTGCTATAGGTTCACGTCGGACGTGCGCGTCCAAGGCGGGTGCATCGTATTAGTACACGCTGGTCGTTGAAGGCATGTTTGGATCCCCAGATCCCAATCTACTTCCTACTTCAAGAGCCGATCGGTTTTCTCTTCCCTCCTCTTCAGGGGGCGGGCGGGAGCCCAACCCACTTCAGGCTCCTTCCTACTTCATGCTCCTATCCACGTCTTCGGACCGACGTGTAAGAGTCGTGCGCGAAGCCCCAGGAATAATGTGAAACCTGGGAAGGGCACCACGCGACTTGAGGACCTGGGGCCTCCCGACGAGCAGTCACGATGCTCGGTGTTGCGTACTCGAGGGGGGGCCCGGGGACGCTCCACGGACTGCCTCGCGGCACGGTGACGCACGTGGCTGCCAGAAACCTGGGAAGGACGGTCGTCTGTCCGCCACCTCCTTTCGACCTGCGTGTCGTATGTCCTCGTGCGTCCCAGAGGCAGCCGCACCGTGCAGCCCGCGGCACCCCGCCCTCGGCTCTGCCCAGGGCTCGCCGCGCTCCGCCCGAGGCTCCGCCCCGCCGCCGCCCGCGGCGCCCTCCCGCGGCGGCAGCCTCGGCGGCAGCCCGCGAGGCCCGCGGCCGGGCACGGGCGAGGGCGGCACCCCGAGCGGGCGCCGCTCCGAGGCCGCCTTGCCGGGCGGCTGCCACCCATACGAGGTGCCGCCGCCGCCTCCTCGTCCTCCTCGTCCTCGTCCTCCTCGTCGTCGTCGTCCTCCTGCTCCTCCCTCCTCCTCCTCCTCCTCCTCCTCCTCCTCCTCCTCCTCCTCCTCCTCTCCCTCCCCCTCCTCCCCCACCACACCTTCACCTCCTCCTCCTCCTCGTCCTCGTTTTCCTCCTCCTCCTTCTCCTCCTCCTCCTCGCGTCTTGCTCCTGGTCCAGACCCTGCTCCTTCTCCTTCTCCTCCTCCTCCTCCTCCTCGCGTCCTCCTCCTTCTCCTCCTCCTCCTCCTCCTCCTCCTCCTCCTCCTCCATTCCTTTTACTTGTAAGTAATTTCTCCCTGTCGCACCCCGGGGCAATTTTTACGGCGGGCCAGGCGTTTCGCCTGAGATTTCCCTTATCATGTATGACTCTGAAGCTAACACAAACTGTCAACAGTTTCACAGATGGACGGCGGGTGGTTTTCAACATGTGGCTCTCGCCTTAGCGCCGCGCGTATTCTTTTTCAACATTTGCATGGGTTTCACGGATTGATGGCGGGTCGTTTTCAAAATGCGGTTCTCGCCTTAGCGCCGCGCGTACTCTTTTTAAACAGTTGCAAGAATTTCACGCGTTGAGGGCAGGTTGCTTTCAAAATGTGGTTCTCGCCTCAACGCCGCGCACATTTTTTAAAGAAATTGCAAGAGCTTCGCGGATTGAGGTCGGGTCGTTTTCAAAATGTGGCTTTCGCTGTAGCGCCGCGCGCAATCGTTGCAACATCTTGCAAGAGCTTCACGGATTGAGGGTGGGTCGTTTTTAAAATGTGTCCCTCGCCTCAGCGCCGCGCACATTCGTTTAAACCAATTGGAAGAGCTTCACGGTTTGAGGGCGGGTCGTTGTCAACATGTGGCTCTCGCCTCAATGTCGCGCACATTCGTTTAAAACATTAGCATGCGTTTCGCGGGTTGAGGGCGGGTCGTTTTCAACATGTGTGTCTCGCCTTAGCGCCGCGCACATTCGTTTAAACCAATTGTAAGGGCTTCACGTTTTGAGGGCGGGTCGTTGTCAAAATGTGGCTCTCGCCTCAATGTCGCGCACATTCGTTTGAAACATTAGCATGCGTTTCGCGGATTGCGGGCGGGTCGTTTTCAACATGTGTGGCTCGCCTGAGCCCCGCACATTCATTTTAACCATCTGCAAGAGTTTCACGGGTTGAGGGCTGGCCGTTTTCAAAATGTGGTTCTCGCCTTAGCGCCGCACACATTCGTTGTAAAACCTTGTACGAGTTTCACGGATTGAGGGCGGGCCGTTTTCAAAATGTGGCTGTCGCCTCAGCGCCGCGCACATTCGCTGTGAACATTTGCAAGGGTTTCACGGATTGAGGGTGGTTCCTTTCAAAATGTGGCTCTCGCTTCAGTGCCTCGCACATTCGTTTTACACATTTGCAATCGTTTCACGGATTCTCATGCCCAAAGCACCAGAAGTGGTGTTTCGGAAGGATTCCGGATTATGCGGGCGCAACAGTTATGTTGATTCGCGGTGTTGAATTCCAAGCGTGGCGTTCTGGCACGATTCCGGATCTTCGCCCTCGGAACTCCAGCTCTGTGCCGAACGGCATGGGGCTGGAATGTCGCCAGAGGAGTTTTTGCGAGCTTTGAGCCTTGCCTTCAATAATCCTTGCATCTCCTTTTTCGCTGTCTCCCTCTGCCTCTCTCTCTCTCTCGCGTGCGCACTATATGCGTCTCCTTCCTCAAGCATCGCAAACGAATCCCTCTGGGAAGCGAAGCAAAGATACTCTATGTCCTCGCATCGGGAATCAGCTGGGAATCATTGCAAAAGGATTCTATTGCAAAGCCTCATAACTGGGGCCGTTTGGAAAGCACTGCTGAGGGCTTCTATTGGAGCGCGTCGCGGGAGGGAACTTTTGGACACCGCAAAGTATTAGATTGGACAGCCTCGGGCTTGGATCGCTGCGCGAAGTGCTACGCGGGAATTTCATTGCATGGCCTCGCAACAAGGACCATCTGGAAAGCGCTGTCTAGCAACGCGCACTTTCTGTTGAACAGATTCATAGTTAGAATCCTTTGGAAAGCGCCCCAGAAGTCTGTGGGAACAAACAACTGGAATCCTCTGGCAAGGGATACAGTGGGGGCGTGCATCAAGAAACCACATGCTTTTCGTCAGGGTATCCTGGGTTTCTTCGCTCCTCGCGCTGCGCGGTGACTTTCCGCAGCCGCTGAAGGAGCTGCTGCGTTCAGGGTGCTCCAAGTTTCCTCTCAGGTGCACCTCGCGCGCGGGTTCTCAGGATTGGGTTTCTTGCGAGGGTTTCTTGTGGCCGCGCCCGCACTGTATACCACGTTTTATCGGGCGGCGCCGCAATGGAGACTTTTTGAACATCGCAACATAATGGATTTCATCGGAGCGCCTGGCAGCATGATAAAACACCGCGCATGGGATTGCATTGGAAAGCCTCACGAGAGAAATCCTTCGGAAAGCAACACGAAGGACCCTCGCTGGAAAACTTCACGAGATCCTTTGGAAAACGCGAGAAAAACCTCACGCCAGACATTTCTTTGGACGCACAACAGAAGGGTACCATTTGGAAGCCGTGCGACAACAAAAATCCACCGGAAAGTGCCACAGAGGGATTCAACCGAGCAGCCTCGCAACATGAATCCTTTAGATAGCGCCGCAGAGGGATTCTACTGGAAAGCCTCGCGACGGGACCCCTTTGGCAAGCACCGTGCAGAGATTCCATTGAAACGCCTCGCAACGAGGATCCCGTGGAAAGCATCACAACGAGATTCTACGGGAAATCCTCACAGTGGAAATCCTTTGGAACGCGCCGCAACGGCTCTATCGAAAGCACCACAAGGATATTCTACTCGGAAGCAGCACAAGCAAATCCTTTGGAAAGCGCCACAACGAGATTCGATGGGCAAACCTCACAATCGGAATCCATCGGGAAGCACCAGCTGAGATTTTATTGGAAAGCCTGACAACAGGAATCCTTTGGGAAGCACGGGAAAGCTTCACGCCAGAACGCCTTTTTGAAAACGCCAGTGAGGACTCCTATGGGAAAGCCGCGCACAAGAGAATCCACCGCAAAGCACCACAGCGGGATTTAGTCAATCGTGAAGTCTCACAACAGGAACATGCTGGATAGCGCCGCAGAGGGATTCTATAGGAAAGGCTCGCGACAGGACTCCTCTGGAAAACACCACGCAGATAGTCTATTGGGACGCAGCGCAACAAGGATCCTTCGACCAGCATAACAGCAGGATTCTCTGCGAAGTCCTCGCAGTGGAAATCCTTTGGGACGCGCCGCTAAAGAGGTTCAATGGGACAACATCACAACAGGAGTCCGTTGGAAAGCACCATAAGGATATTCTATTCGGAAGCATCACAAACGGAATCCGTTGGAAAGCGCCACGAAGCGATTGTATAGGAAAGCATCGCAATCGGAATCCACTGGGAACCATCATGAACAATTTCTATTGGCAAGCCTCACAACAGGAATCCTTTGGAAAGCACCCTAAAGGCATTCTATTGGAAACCGTCACAGTGGGAATCCTTTGGAAACATCGCACATTGATTATACTGGAAATCCGTTGGAAAGCGCCACACAGAGATTTCTATTGTAACGCCTCTCAGCAGGAATCCATTGGAAAACACCCCAACGGGATTCGGTGGGACATCCGCACAAAATGGATGTCATGGGAAAGTACCACAAAGGATTTTTCTCCCCCCAAGCAACACAAAACACACCAACTTTTTTTTGAGGGGGGGCAGAGAGAAACAAGTAGAAACCATCACAGTGGGAACCTGGGAACCCTTCGGAAGCACTACCAAGGGGAGTCGATGGGAAATCCCCACAACAGGAGTCCGTTGGAAAACTCCGCAACGGGAATTGTATTGGAACGCCTCTAAACAGGAATCCGTATGAAAACACACCAAAGGGAATCTATTGGCAATCCGCACAGTGGGATTTCATTGGAAAGCGCCACAACGGATTTCCCCCCCCCACCCTTCGAAACATTATCCTGGCGAAGGACCCAACCATATGAAGTTGTGGGTACCGGAATTGTGAATATCTTCTTCGGTGAAGCTTCCTCTGGGGTCACGAAGCGCTGCGCTGGGCGGGGGGGGGGAACATTGGGGCCTTCGGTGAAGCTCCCTATGAGGCCACGAAGCGCTGCACTGGGTGGGTGAAAATACCAACTCGGGCGTGTGGGACGCATGCGGGCGGTCCCATTGGGGGCTTCGGTGGAGCTCCCCATGGGGCCACGAAGCGTTATAAAGGGTGGGTGGAAATGCCAAATTGTGTGTGGGGGGCGCATGCAGGCGGCCCCACTGGGGGCTTCGGTGGGGCTCCCTACGGGGCCACGAAGCGCTGTATTGGGCCTGCGAAAATGCCAGATTTGGTGTGGGGGACGGACGCACGCGGGCGGTCCCACTGGAGGCTTCGGTGGAGCCCTGTGGGGGACGCATGCGGGCGGTCCCACTGGGGGCTTCGGTGGAGCTCCCAATGGGGCCACGAAGCGCTGTATTGGGCTGGTGAAAATGCCAAATTGGGCATGGTGGACGCATGCCGGCGGTCCCATTGGGCGCTTCGGTGGAGCTCCCTATGGGGCCACGGAGCGCTGTACCGGGTGGGTGACAGTGCCAAATCGGGTGTGGGGGACGCATGCGGACGGTCACACTGGGGGCTTCGGTGGGGCTCCCTATTGGGTGTGGGTGACGCATGCGGGCGGTCCCGCTGGGGGCTTCGGTGGAGCTCTTTGTGGGGCCACGAAGCGCTGTACTGGGTGGGTGAAAATGCCAAATTGGGCGTGGGGGACGCATGTGGGCGGTCCCACTGCGGGCTTCTTGGCTACGAAGCGCTGTATGGGGTGGGTGAAAATGCCAACTTGGGTGTGGGGGACGCATGCGGGCGGTCCCACTGCGGGCTTCTTGGCCACGAAGCGCTGTATTGGGTGGGTGAAAATGCCAACTTGGGTGTGGGGGGCGCATGCGGGCGG